ACTCTTCCTGACAGTACTGAAGATTCACACTGACAGCACGGCACGTACTGCGCCTAAAATCCCTTTGAGTCACTATACTTTTTGTGTCTCCAAACACCACTTAAATTCACATAAAATAGTTGGTATTTTTTTTTAGCCAACTGAAACTCTGTTCACTTTCTTCATTGCTGATTGGTGGGGAAAATATGTGGGTAACAAATTACACCCAGGCCTATGGATTGGTTGTCCAGTCGCAGCTCTTCACACAGCGCCTGACAGAAAGGAGAAGGTTATAAATAGTTCTGGAGGACAGCTGAGATAGCACATGCATAGATAAGAAAGAAACACCATTCCTGTGCAACCAGAAAATAAGAAAGATCACAGCGTTTTACTTATGCAGGATGTCTTAAACATCTCTCCGGACAGGTTCCTCAAGTAAATGTTCACGAAAGGGAATAATCTTAAAAACTAGACTAAGCCCTTGGTCAATATTTGCTTCTTAACTCAATTTAACATGAATTTCCAATGAAATGTAGTTCTGCACTGAGGTGCAGACAGTGGTTTGTCCTCTACTGGAAAATGCGTCAGCCTAACCTATGTTTACTGAGATATTTGAATGCCTGAAACTTAACATTTAATATTAAGACCATTTAAAAAAAAAAATTACACTACATCTGGTAAATGAATAATTTTGAGAGGCAACTTGATGAAAAAGGAACAAAGACACTCTCTTCTATCAAGGAAAAAGATCTGTGTCAAGGCAGAGCTGAAAGCTGCGATATGTTTCTGCCCGAGACACAGGTGTCTTGTCATTCAACAGAGTCGAGGCTTGCGAAACATGTGCAAGCAAAACATGCCATACAAAGTATCACAGAATAACATTACAGTTACCTAGAAAGTCTGGCATTTAGATGCTCCAGATCAAGTGCCCATCAAGGTCTATTTTTTTGTATAACTTCCATAGGTTTGTTGTGTCCCAAATGACACACTATACAACAAACTAGTAGGTACTCTAATGACTAGAATACAAACTTTATAAGGTTATGTTTTCATCCAACACTAGAGTCTAATAGCCTGTCCCCATGTGTTACATAAAGAAAAGCGGCAACAGTTGAGTGCATGAAATGTTCAACATTCTACACTTAATTTTTTTGGTTAAGTACATCATCCAGGTATTTGAAATGCACTTTTTCTTTTTGGAATTTCCAGTGTTAACATGTTACAGTGAACATTTATTTTTCAAATAAAACAATAATTATTGGGATACATTTTACAAGAAAATACTGTTTCAGTCTTTCTACTTTAAAATGTCATGTTAAACTAAGTGTGTTACTTGTCATTTCTTTAATTGTAAAATTTAGCTACTAGCAATTTCTGAGTTGAAAATTGTTTTAAAGTATTTTTTAGTGTACTTGCTCTATTTATACTATAAAATAGCATTAAACAGTGCACAAGTATGTGAACTGGGATGCAGCTATTGTTTAGATGCCGTAAGCATTTTGCGCTGGGAAAAGCTCTAAGAATATAGAAGTGAAAATACGGTCAACCAAGAACCATATTGGCAATAAAGCACAAGCCACATTGGGACAAGTCATTTAAACAAGACTAAGATGTTGAGGTCAGCCTCAAACAACAGTTCAAACACTAGTCTCCACTGGGACACTAGTGCACTTTCCCTGGTGAACAGATCACATGTCTCAGATCCCAAAACTCCTCAGTGGTGACCCAGAAAAACAAGCAACTGCAAATACAGATATATTCAACATGCTATTGTGGTTCAATACAGAGTGTTCATTTCACAGCCTGTATCAGCAGCTGCAGAAAATCGCAAGGGGGAATCTGTATCCATGGAACGAGACAAAACAACTTGCAATTAACTACTAATGAAACTTCAGAGGGAAATTAGAGACTAATGCAAGTCATATGGGAGGCTGAGAGAAGCTCACACACCCACACAGATGAGCCTCAATGAAACCCTGCAGCAGATGCTGTCAACCGAGGTTTTTGTATATATAGGCTACCAAGCTGCAATTAACAGAAGATGTTGGTTAAACTTGTCAATTAGGGTATAAAGTTCATAACACCATCACAGTTCATGGTCAACAGTGTTAGGTTATTTTGAAACTTGGGGCGATTTTTTTGTCAATACAGGATGCCTCATCAGCACCAGTAACATGCACCGACATGTCTTTACCAACAGTCAAAACGAAACAGGAAGTCAGTCTCATATCCTCTTGGCGAGTCCCTCAAAGTCAGCTGAATTTTTTTTTATTGGGTAAAGGTGCCACTTTCGTCAATCATAATTCCTGTTTCCGTGAACAATGACAGCATACATGGCCTTTACATAATAATTCAGTTATTTGTTTGATTAAAACAAGTTTAAGTGCCACAGAACACAGCATCTGTGTGAGATATTAAAGATACAATGAAGCGCAAGATCTCTCCATGAACAAACAAAACAGTGTTTAGATTTGAATATATTTGCATGTACTCTTGCGCTGAGATTTGAATGAGTTCATGTGTTTATTCTAGCTGGTCAAACACACACACACAAAAAAAATAAAAAATCTAGAAGTGGAATAGAGGCGTTAAAGAGATAGTTCACCCAAAAATTTAATTCTATCATAATTTCCTCACCCTGTTTTTTTGTCCAAACAATGAAAGTCTATGACCACCAAAACGGTTTGGTTACCAACATTCTTTCAAATGTTGTCTTTTGTGTTTTGCAGAAGAAAGTAAGTCATACAGGGTTGAAACTACATGAGTAAATGATGCCAGAATTTTTATTAGTGGATGAACGATCCCTTTAATTGTGCGACATATCACCACTTTAATAAAACAGACAAACATAAGCCTGCTGCTCATCTTTTGTCATTTGAGGACGGTCTAAACATGAGGCTCTAAATGACAGGGGGCTTCAGTTCAGGGCCTGAGTCCAGAATAAGAGCGAGATGCGATATTCAATCTCCATTCTCAGAAGGCCTGGAGGGCTCAGTCCTTGACTTGCCAACTGCTGTTGCACAAACCCCCATCTCTCTCCCTCTCTACAAAGGAAACTCTATTTTCGGCTTGCCAACCTGGAAGCTAGGAAGAACAAAACAGCCAGCTGCACCTCACAGGGTGTTGGACTGAAACAAGGCCGGCAGCAAACACACACACACACACAGACAAACACGGCAAGCCACATATGGATGCAGTCAGATAACCAGGAAGACTGACATTTACATAAACAGACAGTGTGACATACATTCAGCAGCTTGCATATGACGGACAGTGAAGTGAAGGCAGATTATTGATGAATCACATTTCCGTTTGGAAAGTCCAAGATTTGGTTTGCTGGTGAAATCAGTTATGTCTGTAATTTTGCCATCTTTGTGCTTTGTGGTCTTCATATCCATTAGTCAATCATGGTCAGTTATGCCTATATAACTGACCAGTTATATATATGCCTATATAACTGACCACACACACACACACACACACACACATATATATATATATGTGTGTGTGTGTGTGTGTATGCGCGTGCCATAAGCTACATAATAGATTGCTGTTGCATTACATGTTTTTAAACTTATTTTACCATACTGTTCTGACAAGGTTACAAAAGCAGCATAGTCAGGAGTCAGGACATTAAAAATACTCTCTATGTGAAACACATCAGGGAGCTTTGAAACACATACAATGCCATTATAATACTTCTCACTTACAAATGGACCAGTGGTTAGTTGAGGGAAAAAAGAAAACGAGTTTATAATGTTAACAATCCAAGTACAAGCCTAGGGGATTTTTTTATGGGCTGGCAAATGAGAGCATATTTCTGAGAAATGTTTAAATGACATATTCCTCTGTTGTTCTCCTGTATGCGGAGCAGCGCCATCACAACAGCGGCCCCCGCAGTTTGCAGGAGGTACTGCAGGCGAAAGGGGAGAAAAACAACTTTGATTGGCAGTACATCAGCATCACATCACACAACCGGGAGAAAGAGAAAACATTCACACAACAAGACCAAAAAGGGAAGCATGAAGAAATGTTAATAAATGCATCTTCCCTTAAAGTTCGTCCAGATTGTCGTGTCACGGCTTACTGTAACGACAAAGGGCTTTGTGTTCTGCGAAAAATGACACAACAACAGCGCTACAGACAAATGACAGATTTTCATTTTTATAAAAGCTTATACGCAAGCAGATTATGCTTAAAGATGAATGATAAATACAAAATGAAGAAAACAAAAATAACGAGCTTAAACCCACAACCATGGCTTAATCTGCACCAAAGGCTTTCAAGACTGTTCCAGGCTGCAGTCTTAATTCCTCGTGAAGCTTTGCTTTTAATACTTGGGATATTCAACATCAGGTTTTTCAAGTGCACACCTTTATGACTGGTCAACATAATAGTTGCAATATGAAACAATGGCTATCTGAACCCAATTGAAGCGTGAACTAAGCATATGCACGACAAACAGGCTTATATCTTTGTCATAAATGCAATGGATTTGCAAATCTTTTCATTCCATAAAATACCAAACAAAATATGTCATAGGATCACGATTGCAGCTCAAACGTAAAGTCCAAGTAAAATGAACAGTAAGCCTGCAGTTTTATAAGGTGTAAACACTTTTGTCTTGTCAAAAATGAACTTAATTTCAGGAACAATAAATAATTAACACAATGAATCGGCGTTTGAAACTCAAAACAAATAGTCATTGTTTGAAACGTGGCGATCAGACAGACAAAAATGAAACAGATAGATTCTGCAAATATATGCGAATCATGACATTCGTGTTTGAAAATAACGGATATTATTTTTCTTTCATAGAGGGACTCTTGGACATGTATTCAAAAATAATGATACACGTTTACGTTTGAGACGCGTTTTAAACATGAATGAATGAACGACATTAAAGAGTCGATGCTTTAGCGAAGTAGATGAACTGTCAACTTTGAAACTTCCCAGCAAGAGTCTAGATACAGCTATGGTTTAACGTTACAGTTATTATCTTCACTTCAGTCATATGTTACCTGATTTTGAACAAACTGATACTGTGTTCCAAGGCCATAATCCATGTTTTTCGTGCAGATGATCATTTTCCTCCCTGTAAGCGCATGAATGCGGCTCCTCCGGCTTCCTTGGTTCTTCTCACCGACTCGCTAACAAAGGCCAAGCCGCTATGAGATCTACATGTCCGGACATACAGCCGCAGTGTCACTGAGCGAAAAAACTATTGACTGATACTTCCACAGTGATGCAGTCCAATCAGAGAGTTAGTGAGGTGGGTCTAAGAGTGGAGCGAAGGCCAATCAGTTTTTAGTACTGGATTTTTTTTTTTTTTTGTGACGGCTGTGTTTGTCCAACATCCCGACATCCGAGCCAATGAGCGCCCGTCATGTGGTGGAAAACTACCTGTCTGTTAAACACATTAAGCCCGCCCACTTTCATGACGCAATGCTACCTGACAACTAGTTGCCATACCGCACTGTCTAAACATAGTATGCTTTGGAGTATTATTTGTAACCCTTATTGTCTTTTGTTCTTACTTGTCTTTGTAATTGTATTTGCTGTTCTTCTATTGCATAATAAAAAAAAAAAATTTAAAAAAAATACAGCACTGTGTGAAAAAACAAATTGGCAACTAGATGCATTTTTTAATTCTATTATAGATCATAAAAATGGGAAGACTGTCCAGGGTATAATTGTTTTTTTTATAATAGAAATCATTCTTGATCCCCTCCATTAATTTTCCTCCAGTTGAGACTCTCACAGCTATAAAGGCCTTCTATTTTTTTACCTTAAGTAAAATATGCTTGAGTAATCATGCATTTGGAAAATTGCACAATAATGCGCAAAGAAACAATTCTAGGGAGCTAGGCCCATTGCTTAAAAAATGAGGCCTTGCACAAACATTTAATGGGTGTAACCCTGTCCCCTGTGCAAACTGAGTAGGCTATATCATACAGGACCTTAGTGGGCTCCTTGTAACAGAATCCAGGACAATGTTCCTGGTTGTTCCCTCCCCCGTACCCTCCATTAATATACTGGGACTTAAAAAACACTGCTTTGGATTTGGACTTTCATAGGTTATCATCTATCAGCCTTTATGTCATATGCACTAGAACTGTTCTAAAAGTTCACAAGGTGCTCTGAAAGGATGGTCGGTCAGGGATCATATACTCATGTATGCCTCTAGCCTTACAGAAAAAAACAATGGTATTTCCACTGTAAAAATTAACAAGAAAAATAGGTAACGAGTTCTGAAGCATATTATGAATTGTGAGTATCAGTAATAAATAGGATAAAGAGGACGATGTGACCTTTTAACATATTCAAATTTAATTGAGAGATTATTTACAGCAAACATATAACATAATAATGGAGGCTGTTTAAGAGAAGGTGATTTTTTTACAGAGCATCTCCTTACCAAGCATGACAAAAGTGCTTATTCAACATGTGATGTCTTCCAGTTCTGTTCCCCTCAAGTCAGAATGATCTTAACAAAAGCCTTCAAGCCTTCATTTTCTGGACTCATCCAGTCATCTCTCAAACTACAAATGAATGGGGCTCTTGTTTTGGAAAAGGTCTTAGTATTTGGAATACAGTCAATTCTGTGCTGTTAAACTGAGTGGATTTGCTTTGGATGTAGATGCATGTGATAGGCTACCTGCAGAACCTACAGTGAAAGTGCATCAGATCTGACCCCAGACACTGAAAATGACATCTCATTCTTTTTTTAAATTAATGTTTATGAAATGAGCATCAGAAAATCTTGCAATATAATATTTTAGGAGGGTGGAAGGTTGAAACAACAACAAATATTGTATTTGATTCTCAACACTGTTTGATTATCTGAGCAAAATCTAACAAACATGACAGCATGTGATATAAGGTTTCTGCTTTTGTAATTGAGAGTGTTTGCTGGCATGCCCTGTTTAACTCACGATTGTGTCTATAAGGTAATTAGGGGCCAATTATTCCTCCAGTTTCAAGGACAAAGACACTCTGATTAGAATTATCATATTCATCATATTATATCCGCCAACATCAACATCTACTGTAACTCTGCATGAAAGCAGTGATGCAGTAAAGAAAATGTTCTGTAAAAATGATAGCATTTTGAAAACAACCTGGATGCATATCTGATACAATATACAATAAAGTACAAATATCAATACAATAATGTCTTTTTAAAGCTAAAACATAATTTATGAAATTTCTTAAAAAAATGTAGGGCCACATCTGAAGAGTTGTGAAGAGCATTAAAAACATTTGTGTAATATCAAATGTTTTACTTCTTTACTCTGTGTGTGTTAAAGCACATGGCACAGATCACACTTTGTATTGTAAATCAAAGTATATTTTCCTAATGGAGGGTGCACTGTACACAAATACAAGTGTCTTTTACTCTATCTGAGGCAGAACAAGCAGTCGATTCAGCTACCTCACTCTTCCGAAACCCTCAAAAGTGCCAGTTACTGCATCATAAGTACTGAGGGTGACCCAGAGTGCAGTGAATGCTTAAAAAATAAGACCCTCTGTCCCACAAGGAGAAGGGACTTGTGTTCCTGTGTTAACAGTGATAAGTTAAGATAAGATAAAGACATAGCCTACAGAAACTCATAATGGCACAAACTGATGCATAAAGCAGCAATGTATAAAACAGGATTATTTTATAAATGTACATTACAATTAATTAAAGTACATTTGTGCATATTATTAAATATATCGCTTTTTAATGATTACAGTGAGGAGTAAGGTTTATATATTGCATTGCAGCAGATTACTGAGAATTGGGGAAAGTGTGTTGGGGGGTTAATGTGGTTAATTATCATAAAAATCAAATGCAAGAAACCCTAAAAATAGGCTTAATTTTCCTTTTGCAAAGTTAAAGTTTTTATTTTGGGTTGAAATATGATCCATGAAGAAGACTTTGAAACTAAAAATATGAAACAATGAAGATAAAGAATATGTTAAAACTATACAACCAATCAACAAAAACAAAAAAAGTTTTCTAATGAAAGAACTAATAATACTAGTAGTAATAATAATAATAATGTATACAAAACTGACCAATATCATCAACATATGCAATTCTAAAACTCTATGGTTTAATAAATTAGTACATGCTTTTATTTTCACTACTACTGCAGTTTCTTTAAAGTACAGCCACAAGGGGGCAATTTAAACAACTTTATTTTGAATAGTTGCACTTATACATTATTGCTCTTTTTAACATTTATAAAAGTATAATAGTTTCTTTTCTGACATTACAGTATATGTAACTTTGATGATATTCAATAGAGCTTATCTAAAATACAATAAGAATGTGGATACAACTTGGAATCTTCCACACATCATGACATTTCCATTTTATTCCAGCACCGGGAAACTAACATCTTGTTTAAAAAAACCCTACTGTATACATATATACACACAATAACATCTAAGAATGTTGACTGATCTCTAATTATGAGAATGAGAAATTAAATATACAAAAGAAGCCAATAAAAATATAGATATGGTTCAAAAAGGAGAAAGTGAGGCATTATACATTGACCACAGGCAAGCTGACAGCTGCAAACTTCGGTTTCGTAATATAGGCCAGTAAGACAGTTTCAGTTCAGTGCTGTCAATCACATTCAATCTCATCACACAGTATGACTATAACTTCCAGAATAACTAACATTTGACATTTCCAAATTTCACAACCAAGGTTTTAAAAGGAAAAACAAAAACAAAAGGACGTATGTGTGTTGCATTACAACATAGGAGATTATATTGGCCATAGATGGTAAAACGGTTAACTGGCATTTAAGTTCACCCACTCGTTCCTGACTAATGGCTGCATTCCGCCCACATTGTGCTCTGGTGAAATGCTGAAAAGGAAAAATCTATGTGCTGAGTAACACATCATAAAGTTCCTGCTCCTGCAAGGCCTACGTATGTTTTGCTGAAAGTCTGCAGCTGCATGGATGAGAGAGACTAACAAGATAGTGATCTTGAATTATATATCAAGATATAATCGTGCCTCTGACATAAAACTTATTGCAAAAATACTGTTTACACCCACTCCGTCAGCATTCAGAAAGGTTGATTGCTTACCAAATATAGATCCAAGCATAAACATGTGTTCAGTAACTACACACACACCAAGCTATATATATATTTCTTAGATTCTCTCTCAATTTGCACCCAGCTGGGAAAAGCTTGGTAACAAACAGGTGATTCATACTAACCAATCACAGGCAAGACAATGACCTCATCTGTTGCTTAATTTCAAGGGACCAGTGGAAAATTCCCACATTTTTATAAAAACAAAAATAAGGACGGACAGACAGACAGACAGACACACACACACACACAGACAGACAGTTTACGTGGCGCGATGCAACGCAACGCGTAAAAAGACAGTCATCAAAAGATAAGTCATTATAATCAGTAATTATGTCCCCACTGGATGCAACAAATGCCTCGTTTATAATGGGTTTTAATGTTTTTGAATCATCGCTCCGGCCGGACACGGCATCACAGTATGGTGAGGAGCGTAACATTTCCGACACACGCTTGAGGTATTCAGCCAATCACAACGCACTGGATAGCTGGCCAATCACAGCACACCTTGCTTTTTCAGACCGATGAGCTTTGTAAAAATCGACGCGTTTCAAAAAGGCAGGGCATAGAGGAGAAACAATAATGTACCAGTATGTGGAAAATAATGTGTTTTTTAAACTTTAAACCGCATAAACACATTTCATTACACCAAATATACAAAATAATGTTCTTTTTAGCAGCATCATATGACCCCTTTAAGAAAATTACTCTGTATCTTTCTTCTAGAAGATATAGTCCCTGAGTTTTATGTAATGTTATAAAATCAAAGTTGTAACTTTCCTGAATCACCAAGTAAAAAGATAAAGAATTAAAAAATAATAATACAGCATTTTTGATGAGCATGTCTGTAATTTGAATGAATTAAACTGGGACTCAGCATTAAGAATGAGCATGAACGCTGAATGCTCGGATGTGAGGGTGTTTGTTCAGTTCCTGCTCTTCCTGTCCCCCGTGTGGCGCTGGACTTCTTCATCAGGGGCATTGGCATGTGTAACTTTCTTGCGCTTTTTAGTCTGCAGAGCCACATGAAAACAATACACAAGATTATTGTTCACATAAAATTATATTACTATATCACAAGCACCAAAGAGTCCCCCATAATGAATGAAACGGTGTCACTCGTATGTTGTGCAGTGTAGCTGGATTTTAGGTTGAATAATACAAAAGGTGAGAGCAGGTGAACAAATAAGAGAGAACTGTGAGGTTCAGATGTGGCTCTAGGGCACTCACAGATTTAGTAGGCAAAGCTTGAGCATTGATTTCCTCTGATGTAGCCATACGAGCCTCCACAATATGAAGCTGCTTCAGACGAGTTTTCTCAAGATTATCAATCTGAGTCTGCAGGGACTCTGGAAGACATAAACATTACACACACACACACACACACACATATTAACAAACACAATACTAATAATAATTATATGTACAAAGTTGCTATCATTAAATTATAATATTATATATATAATTAAACAATTTAGATTATTTAAAATCATTATTTAATTTAATAAATTAAATTTATTTTTACATATATTCTCTGAAAACAATGTATAAATTATTTTTTAAAACGGTTGTATTAAAATTGTATTAATTCTTTTAAAAAGTAAATTATGTTTACATATAAAACTGATTATGAAAACTATAATTTTTTTGCAGTGTATGTGCAATGGCACCTATTAGAGCAGAGTCAACACTGCATAGTAGAGATGTGACAGAGGTATAAGCCCCATCAGATGTACCTGTACATGAAAACCCACACACACACATGAAAAACTCTTGACAGTTTCCTTGCGTTTACTTTTTTACTGTGTCAAACTATATAGAAACAGTTAGCTTTAGCTTATCAATAAATATCAAGGGATAAACTCAAACTTACGTCTAATAATGCAAACAATGAATGACTCTTTAGCCTTCAGCAGTCCACGAGCAGATTCCTGAGAATTCTGGAGCAGAAAGAGGAATTTCAGCACTCCTGGTTCATCACACAGGTCTATAAGCTCTGAAACACATTTACTAGTATTACTATCCTTGTGGGGACATTTGGTCCCCATAACGTGATAAATACCAGGTACACACACACACACACACACACAGATCTGGATGAGTAACCTCAAGGTATGTTGTTTCAAACACATGTTAAAACTGTCATATAATATGTGTTTACTGTCTCTTTGCAATATTTTTGCATGCACTGAAGAGCAGACGCATTATGATGAGGACAGTGTTAATGACAAGTGGTAATGAGTTCTCCATTAGTGATGGGCTGATCCCAGGTAACGTTCCTTACTACATGCCACAGATGTAATCAGACACCGTTTTAGGAGTATGTTTGAGTGTGTGAAATATTAACGCCTGAGATCCGTGACCTCTTGCACCGAGGTCACGCTTTGAGGGGCACACTGGGCTCAACTAACCTCTTCTGACCTGAGATCTCTAGAGCAAGTCAAGTACAACCCGCTTGAGCTACTTTTAAGATATCCTTAGTGGCCATTCACGTAGAACACGTTTTTGCTTGGAATTGGGGAAAAAAAAACTCAAAGTCTCGAAATAAGTTAAACTTATTTCAAATTTACGGATTATCAAATACATCCGTCTAGCGAGTGTTTACATAGAAAAATTGTGTAAAAGTAGCACACAGTGGAACTGAAAAACGCGTTCTGTGTGAACCAGACCATTTCTTTGATGTTGAATGTCCACTCAGAATTTGAATGACAGAAGCACATAAACAACTCTGGAATGACTGCAAGCACCCTTAAAAGTTTTTCTGCTGACAATCACGTCATATTTAAGTTTCTGTTGAATGAAAGTCTTGAACTGTAAACTAACTATAAATATAGTTTGACTGATTATGTGCTTCTGATTATCCACATATCCTGATGAATGAAAAATACCCTCGAGAGAGCTGTACATACCTGACTCAGCAAGTCCCAACCTGGTTTTTATGTACTTCATGAGGACAACAATTGGACAGTTGGTGTTAACCAGGAATTGGTTATTATCTAAATACACAAACATCACATTAATATCAGCTTTTTGTAATTTACATAAACAGATCAAATAGAGAAATTTAAGTACACACAAAGCATATTTTGTCAGTTACCAAGCCACATATAGATCTAAACATAGGATGCATACATTGTATTGATATTTAAGCAATTTAATTAATTTTCTCATCATTGACATGATTGAGATCCTTACCTTCATGTTTAATGTAAATAAACATTGCGGCAGAAGAGAACTTGACACCTCACTGACTGCTGTTCAGTTTTTAAGATGCTGCCTGCTGTAGCCGGGTAAGAAATTAGTGACACAGAAGACAAAGAGAAACATAATCATCAAAGACTGTGATGTCACAATGACAGGGAATCAGAGTAAGATGAGGAAAAACACATTTAAACTAGGGCAAGAAAATACAACAATAGCATAATATGCACAATCAAAAGTTTTATTACATATTAATTCAACATGCTACCAAAATGAAATAGCAGTTTTATTAATCATTATGTGCACACCCTACAAATGAAAGCTGCCAAGCATTTTGAAGTGTATTTTTAATGTATTTGTAACTTCTTTTTTTTTTTGTAATTTGTAACTCAGTGTCATTATTTTCAAGCACCTGGTCACAAGGTCATTCTTAGTGGATTTACAAAGTTAGTTTGCTTCAAGTTCACAAAGTCATAAATCGAACAAATACTTGTAGTATTAATTTGAAACAATAAATATATTGTTTTATAATTAAAAACCTAACAAAACTGGAAAAAGTGAAACTTCTGTTTTCAGTGCTGTCTTTAAAATAAATGCCATTGGTTTGATATTTTTAAATAAGACATTAATGTATTTGTAAGGTTGGCTTACACTACTGTTCAAATGTTTGGGGTCAGTAAGATATATATGTTTAATATGTTTATTCAGCAAGGACACATTAAATTGATCAAAACTTACAGTAAAGACATTTATAATGGCTGAAGATTTCTATTTCCTATAAATGTTGTTCCAATAAATGAACTTTCTATTTATCAAAGGATCCTGAAAAAAAAAAATGTATCATGGTTTCCACAAAAATATTAAGTTTTTGTTTTTGAGATTAATAATAATAAGACATTTTCTGGAGAAGCAAATAAGCATATTAGAATGATTTCATGTGATACTGAAGACTGGAGTAATGACGCTGAAAATTCAGCTTTGGCATCACAGGAATAAATTACATTTGATCATTTATTCAGATTAAAAAAATACTTTTTTAAAAATTTGAATTATATTTTACAATATTACAATTTTCTACTGTATTTTGATCAAATAAAAGCAGTCTTGGTCAACATAACAACCCTAAACTTTTGGGTACACTGTAATATTGATTGAGAAATGTCAACAATTACATTTACTACAAATACATAAACTCTGCTTACAATAAGAAATGAATGAGGTAAAATAAATGTGCAAAAGGAAACATTAAAATGTTCAGTAAGAATGAGCTGACAGTGCAGGTGAATGGTTAGTGCCACTTTGGCTTATGAGCTCTGCTGTCCTGCATGCTCTTTTTCAGTGCTTGGTTTATCTGCATACTCTTCTCCAGTGCTTGGTTTATCTGCATACTCTTTTTCAGTGCTTGGTTCATCTGCACGCTCTTCTCCAGTGCTTGGTTTATCTGCATACTCTCTTTCAGTGCTTGGTTCATCTGCACGCTCTCCTTCAGTGCTTGGTTCATCTGCACGCTCTCCTTCAGTGCTTGGTTCATCTGCACGCTCTCCTTCAGTGCTTGGTTCATCTGCACGCTCTCCTTCAGTGCTTGGTTCATCTGCACGCTCTTCTCCAGTGCTTGGTTTATCTGCAGTGCTTGGTTCATCTGCACGCTCTCTTTCATTGCTTGGTTCATCTGCATGCTCTTTTTCAGTGCTTGGTTCATCTGCATGCTCTCCTTCATTGCTTGGTTCATCTGCACGCTCTTTTTCAGTGCTTGGTTCATCTGCACGCACTTTTTCAGTGCTTGGTTCATCACAGTTGTCAGTTTGAGAAGCAGGACCGGCGTCACAAGAGGGCATAAGTTCACACACGTCACAGGATGGCTCTGTGTAGTCAGGCTCAAAAGCTTCCTTCAGCTCTCTGGAGATGTGAACCCAGCTCTGAGAATAAAACGAGAGGGTTAAAGCGTATCCAAATCTGAAGAGCACATTTACTCATAATGACCTCGTAGGAATACAGTAGGAGTGTTAAAAGAGCAGATACCTCAACATTTCCATCATGTTTATGAAACAAATCCTGTAGGTTTTTGCTAGGGTCAGGCACGACCGGAAGAAAGATGATCTTTTTCCTGTAGGTAAATAAATAAATAAATAATTTAATTATTATTACACAGGACTTCTGGAGATAAATATAAGACTTTTTAAAGATCATTTTAAGACCAAGTAAAGTAAAAATGTAAGGCATAAACTAAAGGGAACACGATACATCAATATGTTCTCTAAGTATCTCATCAATATGCTTTAACTTTTTAAACCTTTTTTTTTTTTTTACTTATAACTTGTTACTTTTAAGTTTATTTTACAAAAAAATTGTTTAAGGCTTGAATAATTCTGCTTTCAACCACTAGAATACGGAAATACTTTTTACTGTACATTCTGTAAGATACATTTACTTGAGAAGCAAAATGACATAAGAAATCTTTGTTCAATTTCTCAGAAAACAGGACTTTATGCCTCCATTTTGTATCTCAAGCAAATGTATCTTGATTTAAGGATGTTTAGATATTTAAACTGAAACCAAGACAAACATACAGAGGAAGATATTAATTTTTGCAGTGAATGTAACATTTAATGCCATGACTTTATGAATTTAGGACTTTTTCTCATATTTAAGACCTATTAAGGCCTTAATTTATTATGTCAATAACATAAATTTAATATAAAGTCTTAATACAGGGGTGGCCAACATCGGTCTTGGAGAGCCACAAGATGCATCCGAAATCGCATACTTCCCTACTATATAGTATCTGAAGAACAGTATGTGAGGCAAGTAGAAAGTACGAATTTATAACATTGGAAAAACTGTAGCCAAAAAGTACCCAGATGACCTACTTCTTCCACCTGGATTCTGAGGTGTGCATTTGATGGACACTTTATTATCCCATGAGGCCACAGGAGAGGATTTATGAATGGCAGTGAAGCGATGCAAATGAAGCAGGTAGGTCATGTGACAGTAACAACATGGCGCAATTTCATTCATACTACCCATATTCATCATATATAGAACATACTTTTTTAACATTTGTGAAGTAAATTCAAATTCAAACGTAGTACCTACTCAGACAGCTTCACCGACAGTCCGGCAGAGTTCAGCTCCAACCCTAATCAGACACACCTATACAAGCTAATCAAGATTTAAGGATTACTACAAAGCTACAGGCAAGTGAGTATTTTTTTTTTTTATCAAGGTTGGTGCAAAACTCTGCAGGACTCTCCAGTATCGACGTCGGTCACCCCTGTCTTAATAAATTAATAACTTAAAGGGGTCATATGATGCGATTTCAATTTTTCTTTTCTCTTTGGAGTGTTACAAGCTCTTGGTGCATAAAGAAGATCTGTAAAGTTGCAAAGACTAAAGTCTCAAATCCAAAGAGATATTCTTTATAAAAGTTAAGCGTGAACCATGCCTACCTAAAACGGCTCGCATGTTTTTTTAACCTTAAACCGCATAAACACATTTCATTACACCAAATACACAAAATAATGTTCTTTTTAGCAACATCATATGACCCCTTTAAATATAATGCTCTGGAAAGACTGAGTGAAAAGTCTAAAACATCTCTCACCTCTCACAATAACACAATAAGAAACCCAGCAGAAACAGCAGAAGGACTGACACAATACCATACAACCACGTCCACCAGCCTTGTCTGCTGATGTTCCCTACATAACAGAAACATGGTGGGGAAAAAAAAAAACTGTAAGAAGACAAATGAGAGCAAATCTATCCATGTCCCTCACTATGTGATAGTAGCATCTCACCGGTACTGCCCCACTCCACCGGATCACTCCAGTCACTCCAGAGATCTGAATCACCACAGGTGTCAGCAACAGTGCTCCGCACTTGGAAAACATAGGGCTTGTTCTGTGAGACCTGAGACAGACTGTATGATGTACCTGTCACGTTTGAGGACTGGGAGCAAAAGACAGATGAAGATGAGACAGTTGGCAGTTTGAATGTAAAATGTTAATATTATATCTCTTGTCTCACCTGGCTTGTGTCTTTCTGGTTGCGCACCATATAGACGACACATTTTTTTTGGGGGGGGGAACTACTGTTCCACTGCAGTAAAAGTGTGCTGTCCTGCTCATTCCACATCACTGAGAGGTTATAGGGTGGGTTTAGCTGCACTAAACAAATACATGTACAAACACAAACAAATGAGCCACTGGTCTGGATATAATTATGTCAGATATTAAATGGTAACTTGCCAAATAACTAAATAAAAGGACGTAAGATATTGATTTGAGTTGAAATTATTTTACTATGCAAGAAGAGTGACAGAGGACATCTAGTACTGTGACACAGCTGAAATCTGTTCCCTGTGATAATGGCCATAGCTTACGGTTTGTTGGTCATTATGAAAAATATAACGATTGGAAGGGTGGGGAAATTCTGTAAATTAATAAACTACACTACTGCTAAAAAATGTAGGTTTGGTTTTTGAATGGTAGTGTAGATTCACAAGCATTTTTTGACAGACCATTGAAACGTTGTAAATCTGTTGGTTTTCTTACCTTTTCTCTGGAGGGATTCAAAGGTTTTTGAAATAGTGTGGTTTCCGTCAGTGGATACATTTGTATAAAATTTTCTAAACTTGTGACCAGGGTCTTTGAGAGGAATTCTGCAGCCTACAGTGTAATTGTGCTCCCTTATGTATTCTGGACAGTCTTGTGAGAGATCCTTTTTAAATCTGACAAAAAAAAACAAAAAAAAAACACTATTGTCTTATATTATCTCTAATTTATCAACTACCACAAAACAATATTCATCACACACACACACGCACGCACGCACGCACGCACACACACACACACACACACACACACACACACACACACACACACACACACACACACAGTTGGGACAAATGTATTAGGGAAGGTGGATGAAATGGGCTGTCACTTACGCACTGCTGAAGGTGTAGTTCATTGTTGATGTGTTTGGGTGCCAGAAGCACTCCACATACTCAAGGTTGATGATCTTACACTGTACACCTACATGGGCAAACATGATTCAAATTCATTCATGTAACAACTCATTAATACATTTTTTCACATTACTTTTTTTTTTTTAAATTTTGAACTTGTTTCCTGCAACCCACATAGACATAAAACTAATCAGTATCAGAATCTCAAACCTCAGCAGCATCATCACAATTACCATAGACACAAATGACAAACAAGAGAAAAACCGTGGAAATCCCCACTAAAACCATCTAAATGTATCTCTCAAACTTTTTGCTCTTAGAAAACCAAAACTAAATGCAAACATACAATCAGAATACTCTTATACAATCAATATTTTCAGTAAGAATTATAATCCCAATCTTATAATTTATAACTTAAAATTAGCTTACCTTTAATTTATAACACCATTAACCACAAAAAACATTATTCAGTATGGTGTTGTGTGTAATTATATACTTACTCAGATCAACTGCTGAGCAGCATCGTTGAAAGGACAGAATAAAGAACAAAAACCCAAAATATAGTCTTGATGTGTGAATGTAAGTCATGCTCTCTGAGCGTCTGAGTAACAAATGACTGTGGTCTAATACTACACAGGATGTTCACTACAGCGTGTTTCCTTCACAACTTTTGCTTCTTTAAAGGGGCCATATGATGCTATTTTAAAGATCATTATTTTGTGTATTTGGTGTAACAGAATATGTTGACATGCTTTAATGTTCAAAAAACACATTATTTTTAAAATACTGTACATTATTGTAGGTCCTCTATGCCCCGCCTCCCTCAAACACGTCGTTTTCAACAAAGCCCCCTCCTTTGACATGCAACTTTACAGATCTTCTTTATGCACCAAGAGCTTGTAACACTCCAAAGAGAAAGGAAAACTTGAAATCGCATCTTGACCCCTTTAAGAATAAATAAGATAAGCAACCTGATAAGTTTCATTGTCACTTTAGAGAACAAAGTCATAAGGAAAAATAGGTATAAAATTAAATTTTTATTAGCAATTACTGTAATTTGAAATGAATAGTAATAATAATAATAATAATAAGTTTTAATAACAGCTTTTTTAATATTAACAAGTGACTTTTCATATTTGAACACAAATAATGTGTCAAAAAAGACAGCACTGCATAATACAGCTGCACCACTTGTGTCTGTACCATCATTATACACTCCTCCAGTGCATATATCATCTAAGGTCAATTATTAGTTTGGCAAAAACCAGTTGTTTTCAAACAATCATCTCCTGCGGGTCCAGTGCAGGATTTCTCATTAAAACAGGTTCAGCCTCGGCCCAAATTCTCATCAGTAATCATCCCGGTTCAAGAGAGAGCTCTCAAACAAGTCCAACGGCCTTATCTAAAAAGTTGGCGAAGTTCTGCGGTTGACCAGGCACATAGGTTGTCAAAGCAGACAGATCCATATCCCTCAAAGTCTGAGGCAGAGCACTGTGATGAAGGGTGAAAAACACATGAAGACGGACATTTCCAGACAGCACAGCAATTTAACCCTAACAATAATCTTGAGCACTAAAACAGTTGAGAAAGTGAACCTGCAAGTGCAGTAGATAAGATGTGAATCTGCCTGCAGCTGCTTTGCGAGCTCCAGCTGGTGATTGTCCATTAATTTATCATTGACCACCACGAGGAGAGCTTTATTTGCTCCGAGTGCTTCCAAACAGCTTCCTGCTCCTAATGGGGATAGAGCAGATATTATGATCTAAAACTCATTTCTAATCCGAGTTCAACTTTAACAAATGTTGTGTTATGTAGGTTATTATAAAATCAACAACAAACTATATTATATCAGATCAGGGGTTTAGTTTTTCCCAGACAAACTAGATTAATTATAAGCAGATTAATTTCCCCCCCACCGATGATAGTACAGTACTATTAGATGTATTGTTTATTTGAAAAAAATATTTAAAAATAGATTTCTGTTTAATTCAATGTTTCATTTTTTTGATTTCCTCTAAACATTTCCCGTGACCCCTAGCACTACCTTGCAGCCATTAGTTTGAAAACCCCTTTATTATATAATACATATTTTGTAACAGACACAACTATTGCAGATATCACACATTTTAAAGTAGAAACATGGAATTTGATTGTTTGACATTTATATTCGTCAAATATATGAACTATTGATCTTTTATCAGATTATTATTATAAAGAGTTTCCTTAATTTGCCTGCATCAAAAAGAATCAAATTAATTTATGTTTGAACTGTACTGTATTTAGTGTTTGGGGCAAAGTGGGCTTCAACACACCAGCATGACTGATGACCAGATCTGAGTGTCTCATGTCCTCGGCGATTGAGTCTTTGAAATGAAACACTTTAAGCGTCATTCCTGGACAGCTGTCTGGATCAGGCACAACTGAACCTCTGCCAACCTGAAGCACCATGTCTGTGTAGCCACGGTCAATTAATGCCTTCATTCAGAAACATGGAAAGAGTCATTAAAGTGAGCCCGGAGATATTTAAAACCAAACCTTATAAATCTAGCTCACGTTTACCGACAAGTATTTGTGACAATCAGCTTATATTTCCTTATCACTTCTTCTCACTATGTATGAATGACATTCTTACCTTCACGGATTCATCTGAAGTCACAGCGCCAATCAGATCATCAAAACTTGTCGTTCCGACAGTTACAAATACAGTTTTCATTGTGTCAGTATGGCAGGCTTTACCAAATGTAACAGAAAACAGACGTGAACAAAAATGAAAAAAGAAACAGACAAATGTAAACATGAAGGGTCTCTTAACACGCCATCATTCAAAATAAAAGTCCTAATGGCTTATAATGGAACTACTAGAATCGTGTGATTTTAACAGAATACAGAAAAAGGTGGGATTTGCCTCTAAAATGATAAAATGCCTCTTCTTATTTTTTTTAAACAAAGTATTTTGAAAAAAAATAAAATTTTGTTATCTTTAAATCTACATGACCCATTCCTGTTATGTAGAACATTTTCAGCTCCCCTTCACATATCTTTATATATAACAATAAACATTGCACTTTTTAAAAATATTAAAATAATTTTCTATTATCAAAATATCACAATTACTGTAGGTGAACATGGGGAGAGTTGTAAATATGTTCACTTTAAATATGTTTCATAGAAATATGTCCATAAACACAGGCATATAAAAGCGCAAACGGTACTGCATAACTCCAGTGACCCAGTAAATATTAAAACCTTTTATATTAAAACCTATTCAGCACCCTTTACACAATTAAGTGGTTCTCAACCAGGGGCCCTCAGAAAATTTGCAAGCAGGTGGCAGGATGATTTAAAAATTATTTAAATGAATATATTATCATTATTAATAAAATGATTATTAAAATGTATATGTTAAAATCATTTCAGTAAAAACATAAAGATGTAAGATTGGATGTTGAGGGGCAGCGGGGTTTGAAAAACACTGCTTTAAAGCTTTCTTTAGCAGGTACTTGCCGTTTCAAATGCTCACAAGTTTGCTTTGCACACTTGAATCTGGACCCCAAAAGTCTTTTTTTTTTTCTTGTTTAAAATATATTCTCTAAATCAGTAGTAGGCTGGATAGTGAACTCTGGCTGGGTAACGCATGAACATTTAGAGACTCCATAAGCCACATTTATGATCACAAGCCTTTGGACTCAGAAGTGGTTTCTGTCAAGTCACTCAGCCACAGCTATCTGATCAAGTGCTGCAGATGGTCATCCTTCCAGCAGGTTTCCAATCTCCACACAGAATGTTGCAGCTGTTATAGTAGCCATTACATTATTGCCTATCTCCTAAACCACAGGCCTTACAGACAAGCAGCATAAGGATGAAGCTTGCAGGTTCAACACGTGTTCAATTACTTGAAGGCGTTGTATTTTTTGTATTTAAATACGATTTTAAATACTTTTAAGAATGCACATGTTCCTATTTCTTTGTCCTCTCCATTACGATAAACTGCAACAAAATCCTGAATATCAGTCAGATGTGTATAACAAAACATCTATTTCAGACATTGGGTTTCCACTACAATAAGACAGATTGTTGGGAACTGATAAATGGCTGATTTCCAGGCAACTTAAAAGGTCATTATCAAAAGCCTATTGTGAGGATTTGCATGCATTCATTTCGAGTTCTTTATTTAGTTATCATTTAAATGTCTCAAAAATGTAATTGATAACCAATTTTGGCATTTTATGTGCTTGCAGTGATAAAAGCCAAAAGTAATATCTGCAATACTGTGCTGAATGGACTATTAACATTTGAAGTTTCTATTGAAGCAGTGGTGGAAACGTGTCCAAAACATATTGTAACTTGTTGGGCACAAATAATATGCAAGGGACACGAAAATAAAATACAATAAAAGAAGGACTGACTCAACAGGGGTTTCAGACTGTAATCATTTAAGGCATCATCAATGCTGTACTTCAGAAACAATGCATACTGTAGTCACAAAAAGCCAAAACAGCCAACAGAATATAAAAACGCAATATTTATCTATCTTGGTAATTAAAGACTTTAATAAATAGAGTATTAGGAGAGAAAGCATACATACCAGTAGTTTAAAAAAAATCAAAAGGGAGAAAAATGAAACGTTAGATATTGAGGTCTCAAACCTGCATAATGGCTGTTACAGCTTAACAATTAGATATCAAACTTAATATGTTAAAAGAAAAAACGGAACATTTACAACAGAGCATCTCCAGGGGTATTATAGCCCTGAGCTGACCTGCTCGTCATAACCCTTTTCCCTATATAAGAAAAATAGCTATTAATAGCCCTGTCACAGATATCCCCATTCCCAAAAGTTTTCTGTGCTCCAATTTGCAGACTTGACTTGTTTTCAGGTAACCAAAACATAACTTGAAGATAGTATATGTGCTCTACAATCCAGACCCAGTGGATTTGAGTTTTGACGACCCTGCGATGATTTATTTCTGGACAGCAAAGCCAAGCCTCGGCCAGATGTCCTAAGTGTCAGAGTTTAAGGGGCTCAGTGGCACAGGTGTGGCTCAGAGGGTCATGTGATCAGAGACTGGTTCAAGAGAGCATCCATCTGGATCATGTGTCTAAGAAACACAGAATTGAGAAAAAAACATATTCGACTTATTTTTGAAGTAAGAGCGGGCATGGCCATTTCTAACTTTAATGTACTTGGGCTTATCTGTTATCTGTACAAAACATGTTATTCTCTCTTTTTTTGTTTTTGAAGAATGTTGGTAACCAAACAGTTGCTGGTAGCCATTAACTTCTATAGTATTTTTTTTCCATACTATGGAAGCCAATGGCGACCAGCAACCCTTTGGTTACCAACATTCTTCAAAATATCTTCTTTTGTGTTCAACAGAATAAAGAAACTCAAACAGGTTTCGAACAACACAATGGTGCTTTGTAGCCCACAAACCATACCTTTTACAGCACTATATCAGCAAATGAATCAGAAGTCTTGCACATTCACAGAAAATAGCTTTCTTTCGAATTGAAAAATAAGGTGGATAACATTATATATATATTTAAATGAAGGATTGCAAAAATGAGTACACCCTAGATTTAATTCAGAAAATGTATAATATTCTAGTACTTGGTATGTCCTCCAGAACTTAAAAGTACACTGCTCTGACCCTTCTTGGCACAAATTTTCACATCTGTCC